TTTACAACCTTGGAAACCCTATACAGGGTCACTATGAGTCAGAACTGATTCAACAGCACACAGGAGCAGCAAAGGAGTCCTGGTATGGCACTGTAAGATAAGCACTGGATTGTTACCCTACTAACCTACCAACTGCTCCTCGGATACACAATACAGGGTCTCTATGAGTTGGAACCAACTCAATAGCACTTAGCAACAATAACAACAAAGGGACATGAAGGGTGCATGGTGGTGCTGTAGGATAAGCACTGAACTGCAAAGCACAAGGTCAGTGGTTCAAGCCCACCAGCCATTACACAAGTTAAAGATCAGGTTTTCTGTTCCTGCAAAGATTTACAGTCTCAGAAACCCTATACAGAGTTGTTATGAGTCAAAACTGACTCAGCAGCACTTAACAACAATAACAACAAAGGGACATGAAAGGAGTACTAGTGGCACAGTGGTTAAGTGCTTGGCTGCGAACCCAAAGGTTGGTGGTTCAAATCCATTAGTTGTTCTGTGGGAGAAAGATTTGGTGGTCTGTTTCCGTAAAGATTTAAAACCTTGAAAACACCGTGGGGCAATTCTACACATTCTTTATGAGTTCAAATGGACTTCATGGCAACAGCTTTGGTTTGGGTTTAAGGGATATGATCACATCAGAAGGATCCCTTTGACAGTCATGTGGAGGGTGGACTGGGGAAGGGGAGATTGAGCATGGTAGCTGAATAAGGAGGCTGTTGAGTTGTCCAAGAATAGACACAAAAGGGTGTCTATGTAAGTGCAAAACAAAAGGCATGACTCAGGAGATAATTGGTTGGTGGTGGTTGTGTACAATTGAGTCAGTTCCGACTCATAGTGACCCTGTATAGGGTTTCCAAGGAGCAGCTGGAACCACTAACCTTGTGGTTCAAACCCACCTTATGGTAAGTGCCACACCAATAGATAATTAGGAAGTGGAACTAAACAGTGCTTACCTCTCAGCATCCAACCCACCCCCAAAAAAAGTAGAGTAACTGTACTCTACTTTTGAGGTACCACAGTCTTTTTTTTTTTTCAAAGCGTTTATTGTGAATTAAGTGATAGCTTAATTGAGTGATACGACAGATCATCAGTTTTACACTCAACCAATTATAGTTTGTTTCGTTGCAATGATTACAATCCCTTCCATGCACCATCAGTTATAAGTATCTACCTCTATTCCTTTTAATTTTCTTTTTGATGTACGCAAAACACACAGAAAATGTATATTCATTTAAATGTCCAAAGGACACATTTTGCAAACCAGCCTCCTGCCTGCAGGCACACAGCCTTTCTCATTCCTCATGGGTCTAGAGTCCTCAGCTGCTCTACCGCTCTATGCCATCACCTCTGCCTCCATCTCTGCTTTTCTGGTTAGGATACCATGCTCCATTCATGTTCTTCCCTCTTGATGGCCCTAGGGGACCATCATTTCCTAGAATGAAAGATTAACTACTCCCCTTTTTTATCCCCGCATCTTCTACATTTACAGTTGTGACAATCACAATTAGTCATGATAACAATTACTTACTATTGAATCAAAAGAATCCTATCCCCATCTCCTTTCACCAGACCCATCTAGACAAGATGAAAACTATTCAGTGGGGATTCTACTTTACACCCTTCATTCTGAAACTAAGTACACTCTTGAAAGCTTGTAAGCCAGCCCCTTTGTGCCTTTATTTGTTGTTGTTAAGTGCCATCAAGTTGATTCTGACCCATAGCGACCCTGTATAGGGTTTCCAAGGAGCAGCTTGAACCACCAATCTTGCAGTTCAAATGACTTTGCAGTCTGACACATTAGCCCACAGCGCCACGGCAGGACTCCTTGTGCCTTTATAGCCCCCCATTTTTGGTAGCCAATGTCTAAGTTGCCTGTTCCTATCAACCCTGTGTACTGAGGGGACAGGCTTGATTCTTGATACAAAGAATCCTCCCCTTTCAGTTGGAATTTTGAGCAACTACATCCATAAGCAAGGAGCTCTGGTAGCATAGTGGTTACGAGTTGGGCTGCCAATCTCACGGTCAGCAGTTCAAAACTACCAGTGGTTCCGTGGGAGAAAGATGAGGCGTTCTGCTCCCGTCAAGATTTACAGCCTCGGAAACCCTGTGGGGCAGTTTTCTACTGTGTTTCATGGACAGCCTGTAAGTTGGCTCAATGGTACCTAACAATAAAGCCTTAGAGAACCTGGGAGGGTAGACCCAGACCAGTGACTCCCCGGTTTTGGGATTCCACAGATTTCACAGAGTGGTCAAACTCCAAAGAAAAAATCTTAGGATCCAAACTAGAATTTCCAAGTTTTAACTTTGTTAAGTAAGAACTTAGAAACCAAAAAAAACCTTATCCTTCACTATCACCTAATATCATAGAAGAAATAACACTCTGTGTATGTGTGTGTTTGTATGTGTTTGTGTGTGTGTGCCTGTCTGTCTGTCTCACACACACATAGAGAAGGGGTCACTTTAGCATAAAAGACCAGCCCCATTGCCACTGAGTCTATTCTGACTTGTAGCAACCCACTACAAAGTATAAAAGAGAGTCCTTGATACATGTAGTACATTTGGCTTTGTTAAGGGCTCTGTATTCACTTTCATCTCTGCTTCAGAAGTGTGAAAACCTTTTACTACCAACACCAATCTGCTAAGTGGTCGAATAGAGACTCCCTCCCTTCAGCTGCATGTCCCCAGAGCCCATTACATCCCAGAAACAGGGAGCATCTAGACACCCTTTACTTTGGAGCGTCCCTACCAGAAGAATGAGGAGCCTGTGATTCACAGAAAGATTGAAGACACTAGGGAAGGTCTCACTCTCCTGACAGGGGTCTCTAGCAAGGGAAGCCACACAGAACCCAGACAAGATATAAGGAAACCTCCCATCCCCAGCACTGCCCATTCTAACCAGGGTTCTGGCATCCACCACTTGCCTGGAGCCCCCAGGATACCAGAGCAAAGAGAGGTTCCAATACAGGGTCTGGGTGAAGACACTGGGGGGCCTCCAGGCTATGAACAGGGAGGTCCCCTCCTTGAAGACAGCCACAGCCTCCTTGGGGACTCAGAGACTGGGGCATGTGTAAGGCATGTGTACAAATACTCTGGCTGGCTTTTGTGGCTGTAAAGAACAGTAGCTTATTCAGGGTCGCTCAAGTGGGTGAAAGGGTGTTATCCTAAGTGTTCCTAGACAGGATTCTATGCCCTCTACACCCACCTAACCAAGCTGAACTAACAGAAAGGAGTCTTTGACAAGTCACAGACCCTGCTAACATAAATACACACTGAAGTTGGGCAGTTAGTCTCAGAAAGTGTTCTCAAAGTTTCCATCTGAAAGACCTGAACATCCCCACCCTACTTAATGGGACACTGGCTAGAACCTACTAGCTAAGAACCAGGACCCTAGGGTGAGCAAGAGGATGAAAGGGGAATCCCCAGAGGGTGCAAACAGTCAACATGTTAGGCTGCTAACTAAAAGGTCAGAGACTCAAGTCCATCTAGAGACACCTTGGAAGAAAAGCCTGGCTATCTACTTTTGAAAATACAGCCACTGAAAACCTGATGGAGCTCAGTTCTCCTCTGACACACATGGGGTCACCATGGGTCAGAGTCCACCTGATGGCACTTTGTTTTTTGTTTTGTTTTGTTTTAAAGCTTTTATTGTCAATTGAGTGGTAGTGTGCATGGAGAACATCTGTTTTGCACTCATCCTATCATATTTCGTTTCATTGCAATGATTACAATTCCCTCCATGCATCATCATTCAACAGTGTTTGCTTCTATTCCATTTCTTGTTGTTGGGTTTTTTTGTTTTTGTTTTTGTTTTTTTGGTGTACACAAAAACACTCAAGAATATATAATCATTTAAACAACTAAAGGGCACATTCTACTAGCCAGTACACAGCCTTTCTTTTTCCATGAGTCTAGAGTCCTCAACTGCTCTGTCTCTTCGTGTCGTCATCTCTGCCACCATCTCTGGTGTTGCTGCTTCTCTGAATAGGGTCCCACATTTGGCAACTTGTTTTATTGTTTAAGGTCAGAGAAGAGAGCCCCCAGTCAAGGTGGAGACAGACAAAGTTGACAGGAAATGCAAAGAGCCAAGAACTGTTCTGCACGCTCCTAGACTCTCTGAGAGTACTTAATCCCAAACGGTGCAGCTCTTTCTCGGTAATGGACTGTCTTTCCATCCTCCTGATATTAAGGGGTTACAAGTAGAAATGCAGAGAGCATCAAGGGAGCCAAAAGGGTTAAAGAACCAGAACCCCAGGAGAGCAAGTTCCCATATACTCAGCCTTTGGCAAGTTTACAAACACAGGGCTATACCCCTGGCCATCTGACCTTAACACGCCACCAGCTCTCTGCTCTTGTAGAGTTTTTCCTGATCCTACCAATACATTAGAGCTCACCCAAATGCCCAAGAGATGCCAAGATCTGACCAGTTACAAACCTTTTTCTCATCAAGCCCCAACGGCCTCATCTCTGGCCTGTCTATAAATCTGCTGACCTTGGGCTAGGTGCCCATCAGCTAGGGCAGAGATTGGCAGGGATTAGAGATGATTGCCTTGGTGTGGACACTATTCCTTTAGGTGTAGCAGGGGCAGGGGGCAGGTCACCTGAATGCCATGTCAGGTTCAGTTTGCACGAGAGCCAGTTCTGTCTTCAGAGCTTGGAGCACCTTTGTGTTGTCTGCGGGCGTTATAGCTTCCCAATAGCTAGGAGCTATAAATGGTTACAGTTCGTGAACCACAGGCCACTGAGTGATCTGAGGTCCCACAGTCTCATGTTCCTGGATCCCAGATTGTCCCAGCCCATATCAGAGAAGCCTAGGAATGTACGCCAAGTCATATGCACTATGCTGTTTATTGTCACATTACCCTTGAGACAGGAGGTATGGGGGTGGAGGGTGAGCCCTCAGGTGGAGAAATGGAAAGAGAGGGAAGGGAGAAGCACCCATCTTTAGAACTTCGAGGAGAAGCTCTTCCAGCAGCCGTGGGGTCAGGAGGCAGAACCCTTCAGATGCAGGCACAGTGCTTTGTGAGAAGGTTGGGCACCGTCTCGTACTTGAAGGAGTAACCTCCATCTGAGGTGGTTCGGACACGCAGGGACATCATGGTCCCTGGGAGAGCAGCACAGCATGGCTGGGCCCCTGGCACCAAATAGAGGGGCTGCACAGGAGTGGAGGCCACCCCAGGGGTCGGCAGGGGCAGGCCCAGTGGGGTGGGCAGCCCACAGCCCCCATGACAGTAATGGAAGACGAAGCTGGGCGGATGCACAATCCAGTGGTCCCAGCCCAGCTCCTGGAAGGAGATGTTGAGAGAGGCTCTGTGGCAGTTGGCGTGGGCAGCGGGTTCCTCCGGAGGCCTCTGCAGTAGGCGCAGTGCAGCTGGCGACCAAGACCAGGGTAACGGGGGAGTGGAGCGCGGGGCTCTCTTCCCTCCGCTGGATGGTCTGTCCCTGGTGTGGGCCACCAGGAAAGGCATAGTTTCAGGCTGGGCTGAGCAGGAACAGAGTGGGCAGCGCAGCAGGAAGACCAGCACTGGGTGGGTAAGCAGGGGCAGAGCTGAGGGGGCCAGGTGCAGTACAGCCCAGCGAGGGGGAGCTTGGCCCAGTGACATGGGAACTGCCATAGGCCCCCCAGACGACAATGTCAGCAGACCGAGCAGGGGCTCAGAGCTATTGGGGGCTGCTGGGCCTGGCCCGTCCAACCCGGTGTGGAACCACAGCTGGGCTGAAGTCACCTGGCGGCTGCGTGTGTGTTGGGATGGCCTGAAGATATAGGTGAAGAGGCCCTCAACAGCCTCCTGAGCCAGCCCTCCAGCATCTGGCTGGTCCTCACAGCTGGAGCCTGTGGAGAAAGAAGGAAAAGGCCAGGGCAGGCCTGATGACCAGGGTTTGGAATTTTCCATTCACCAGGGCAGACTGCGTGCCTAGCATTCTGCTGAGCACCTTACCACATCTGGGGATTCCATGCTCTTGGAAATGACATACTTTACCCATTGTTTAGTTCATCACCAAAAGGACTTAAGAAAACATTTCACATAATATTGCCAACTTCTGTCTGAAGCGGCTGTACCAGTTCATACTCTCATCTGCAATGTGTAAGAGGCCCTGGTCCCCTTGGCCTTCACCAGCACTGACAATTGTTGGACAGATACTGTGCAGTGATACTTTGGGTGGTAGGTATATGGGTATTTATCTTATTCTTTATAATATCTTTTTAATGTCAGAAATATTGTATGATAAACTATTTTAAATAACTCTATTTTTTTAAAAAACACCTATTTATTTACTTTAAAGGAGCTCTAGTAGTGTAGTGGTTACGAATTGGCCTGCGAACCTTAAGGTCAGCAGTTCAAAACTACTAGCTGTTCCATGGGAGAAAGAAGAGGCTTTCTGTTCCCATAAAGATTTACAGCCTCAGAAGACCTGTACAGGGTCGCTATGAGTTGGAACCGATTCCACGACACATAGCCACAACCACCATTCACTTTAATGATTGCATTTCTCCCTATGTCTCTTGCTACCTTCATCTTTCCTCTGCTAACCTCCCTCTTGTTGTATATTGTCTGCCTTGTCATGTTAACATGTGTCTACTCTCTAGCCCAGGGGTGGGGAATATCCAGCCTGCGGGCCATAAAAGCCCTCAAAATCATTTGGTCTGACCCTACCAAGGCAACTGCAGGCAGGATTTGAAATTCAAAAAATTTAGGAGCTTTTTTCATAGCAACATAAATTTATATTAAATGATGTTATAAATATCCAAATGGCCATTGGCACAAAAAAGGTTCCCCATTCCTGCTCTAGCCCATGAATAATCTCTGCACCGCCCCCACTCCAACCATCATAGATGGTTTCTTTCATCAAGAAAACCTTCCGTTTTAACTTTTTACAACATTGGTCTCATACAATGTTTGTCCTTTTGTGATAGACTTATTTCACTCCCCATTATGTCCTCTAGGTTCAACCATGTCAATAACTCCATTTTTCAAAAGACAAGCTAACAACGAAATATAAAGTACACAAGGCCCAGCTCAGACTACAAGGCAATTCTTTCCAAGCAAAGACTGTTGGCATCATTACACTGACATAACCCACCATCATCAAGTCCATTCTGATTCATACCGACCCTGTAGGTCAGAGCAGAAATATGCCCGTAGGGTTTCTCTGACTGTAAATCTTTACGAGTGCAGACCACCATGCAGCCTCTCAAAGTGGCCCTGCCAGTTCACCACCCTCATTACCTGTGGCGGGGAAGAGGATGGCCTGGGAGACATCCTCTTCCTCAGACTCCGAGCCCCTTCTCACGAAGCCACCCAGGGCATGTCTTCGAGGCAGCCGCCTGACTCCAGGCTCCCTACTTTCCCCGGTCATTGCCGGGGGCCCCAGAGCATCCAGGAACAGTGCCTTCACCTTAGCCAGAACAAGTTGCTGATCCACCTCTGGCCCATGGCAGCCATGCCCACCCTGCAGGGTCAGCAGCAGAAAGAACAGTAGTAGCCTCAGGGGTACCATTGTTCACTTGGTCAGTGCCAACCCACACACAGCCTGTGTACCCCTCTGTCAGGGTCTTCCAAGGAGCTCTCCACTCCCTCCTCCCCATCCCACCACCCGCCTCTTCTACCCTTCTGGCCTCAGTCTTCACCAGTCCTTCCCACGCCCAGCAGTCCCAGATGCCCCTGCCCATGGCATTGAGACTTCCTATCTCTGACACAGACGTCTGTGGCCCTGAGCCTTATCTCCCACTCCCGACAGGAATGTGAGGGAGGGGGCTGGTGAGGGCTTTCACCCCAAGTGACCTACCCACACTTGCAACCCCTCCCCCGCTACACACACACACACACACACACACACACACACTGTGAGTGTCACAACTCAACAGCCAACACACAGGTGGCATCAAGTGGGACAGGAGCCTGGAAGGTGGGGTCTGCCAGCTCCTTAAGGTGTTGTCAGGGAAACAGACTGGCTAGCTCCTCACACTTTCTGGGGGCCCCTTGCAGCTAAGCAGCTGCTCAGCCGGCCCTGAGGACTGAGGTTAGAACTGGGGCTAGGGCGGGGGGCAGGTGGTCCCGCCTGCTCTATACTTAGCCTGGAGGAGCCAGTCTGGGCTCTTGTCCTCCAGCTGTGTCATCAGAGAATATTTTTGGGATTGGCAGCTGCAGGCGCCTCTGCCACTCAGGCCCTAGGCGGGCAGGCGGCAGGGGACCTGGCGGCTGGAGGTGGGAGGGAGGAGGGAGAGAGGCCGGGCGGTGGGAGGGGGCTGGGAAGAGAGGCTGGGAAAGCAGGAAGCCAGGCTGCGCAGGCCAGCAGGAAACACTGCCCCCTGAGCTCGGGCTACGGGCCTGGGAGTCTCCGCGCAGCACCGCAGCTCCAGGCCGAGGGTAAGGAGGCGATCCGGGAGTGGCGGCCAGGAGAGCTCCGCGGTCCCCACGTCCCCGCCCCCGCGTGCCCCTCTGTGTCCCCCGCGTCCCCGCAGGCCGTCCCAGGCCTCCACGATGAAGGCGGGCTCGGGGGCCCAGGGGAGTCCTCCATGCTTCCTGCGTTTCCCGCGGCCCGTACGGGTGGTGAGTGGTGGCGAGGCCGAGCTCCAGTGCGTGGTACTGGGCGAGCCGCCGCCCATTGTGGTGTGGGAGAAGGGCGGGCAGCCGCTGGCGGCCTCGGAGCGCCTGAGCTTTCCGGTCGACGGCGCCGAACACGGCCTGCTGCTGAGCGGAGCGCTGCCCACCGACGCGGGGGTCTACGTGTGCCGTGCCCGCAACGCGGCAGGTGAGGCCTACGCGGCAGCCGCCGTCACCGTGCTCGAGCCACCGGCGCCTGAGCCCGAGCCACCGGCCGCCGAGCACCCACTGCCACCGCCGGGGGCCGGGGAGGGAGCCCCGGTGTTCCTGACCGGGCCCGGGTCACAGTGGGTGCTGCGGGGGGCCGAGGTGGTGCTGACGTGCCAGGTGGGGGGCCTGCCCGAGCCCACGCTGTACTGGGAAAAGGATGGGATGGCCCTGGACGAAGTGTGGGACAGTAGTCACTTCGCGCTCGTGCCGGGCTGCGTCGAGGGCGGCCGGGGCGTGAGCCTGGCGCTGCGCATCCTGGCAGCGCGGCTGCCCGACTCGGGCGTCTACGTGTGCCACGCCCGCAACCCGCACGGCCACGCGCAGGCCGGCGCGCTGCTACAGGTGCACCAGCCCCCCGAGATCCCGCCAGCGGACCCCGAGGAGGCGCCCCCACCTGTGGTGGAGCCGCTCAAGTGTACGCCCAAGACCTTCTGGGTGAACGAGGGCAAGCACGCCAAATTCCGCTGCTACGTGATGGGCAAGCCCGAGCCCGAGATCGAATGGCACTGCGAGGGTCGACCGCTGCAGCCCGACCGCCGCCGCCTCATGTACCGCGACCGCGATGGCGGCTTTGTGCTCAAAGTGCTCTACTGCCAGGCCAAGGACCGCGGGCTCTACGTGTGTGCTGCGCGCAACTCAGCTGGCCAGACGCTCAGCGCAGTGCAGCTGCATGTCAAAGGTGCCGCAGCGCCCCCGGGAGACGGGAGGGAAAGACGAAGAGACCCTTCTCAGCCCTCCACCCAGCCCCCAGGACTGTCAGGATTTCTAGAAACTTCTTTAACTCCTCTAGGGAGTTTGAGGCAGAAGGTGCAAAACCACTCTGGAAAAAAAAAAAAAAAAAAAAAAAAACGGCTGGAAGAAATGGTTGTTATGTGACCCAGAGGGGCGTTGACCTATTCCAGATCATTAGTTTCCCGCCGTTTGTTGCTGTTTTTTAACTGTTCTCCTCCACTGAAATCTTACCTTTAGCCCCTAACATAACTCATATAAAACAGATCAAAGATCATTTTATAGGTGTAAATTTATGTCCAAATTCTAACATGTACTTGTAAAGCTAATCAGGAGAACAAAGGGGCTATTTTATTGGATACAAACATTTTAAATGGTGGTTACCTTCATAACCCCATCTGGTCTCTGACGCCTGCAGGGAAAGTCTGACTGCAGAATTCCTGGCTGACTCCACTGCACATAACCACCACCATCAAGTGGATTTCTACTCACAGTGACTCCATATGACAGAACAGAACTGCCCCCATGGGGTTTTCTAAGCTTTAATGTTTACAGAGCAGATCGCCAAGCCTTTCTCCAACAGAGCTGCTGGTGGGCTTGAGTGCCAGCGTTGTTAGCAGTCAAGCACATACATACTCACTGTACCACCAAGGCGCTTTACACTAAAAACCCCTGCTATTGAGTTGGTTCCGTCTCATAGCGGACTCTATAGGACACAGTGTCACTGTTCCCTTTACAGTTTCTAAGACTAAATCTTTTTTAAGAGAAAACAGCCTCCTCTTTCTCCCTCAGAGCAACTGGTGCATTCCATGGGTTAGCAGCCCAACTCTTAATCCACTGTGCTAACAGGGCTCCTTTTTATACTAAAAGGAACCTTAGGAAAGGAAGAATAACCTGCTTTTTTTTTTTTTTTTTTTTTTTTTGAATTGAGTGAAAGTTGGCATCAGTTTTACATTCAACAACTCATGCACCTGTTTCATAGCGACCCTGCACAGGGTTTCCGAGGCTGTAAATCTTTACGGGAGCAGAATGCCTCATCTTTCTCCCGCGGAGCCACTGGTAGTTTCGAACTGCTGACCTTGCGGTTCACAGCCTGATTCGTAACCACTACGCTACCAGAGCTTATCATAGAAATTATTAATAAAATTCACTATTTAATAGTTATAGCGCATATAACAGAAGCATTCCCTTTGCTATTCTGTAAACTCTTTCTCAAATAACAAAAGAAGATAAGAGAAAAAAACTGTGAAGTAAGAGTATAAAAATGTACACAGTCTATTGTTGTTAAATGCAATCAGTGGCTCTGACTCATAGAGACCCTGTATAGGGTTTCTGATGAGTGGCTGGTGAGCTTGAACTTCCAATGTTGTGGTTCAAACAGACCTTGCAGTACAGTACATTAACCCTTCAAAATTGTAATCAAAAGAGTGTTGGAATTTATCCAAACAGAATATGCATGCACTATAATATTATGAAAGAATGCAGTCTTCATTAATACAAATCTACCTCTATAATTTCTATAGAAAATTTTGCCAGCTGGAGGAAAGGCTATGAAATTGTGATGACGAATAAGCTTACCTGAAGAATGCCAATGCTAAACAAGAGTGGATTTTTGTGGTTTGGTTATCATTTAGACTATATTTCAAAAACAGAAAAATTAGAGCCTTGATAAATTTTCATTCAGAGATATTAAAAAACTTACATTCATAGATATTAGGATTTTGCCTCATTTGTAAAGTTTATATGGCCTTTCATTTGTATTAGAAAGTTAAAATAGTCCATGATTCAAATTTTGATTTGATTGTATTATACAAAATTATTGAACTGAACTCATAAAAATTAGAATAATTCACTATATCATCTGAATAATCAATAGATCTCTGTAAAACAATTAAAAAGTAGACAGTGTTAGAGATTTACTCAGTTCCCTAAATATTAAAATGATTCAATGAGACCACCCATTGTGCTTTTTTCTCAGGATTCTTCTTATTTTTATTATTAACCACAAAATGCCTTGTAATCCAACTACCACTATTGGTACAATTCCCTAACCGATCTAGATTTTAAATTTTTTAATCACACATTCTTTAAATAGGCACAGGATGCCTAAACTTTAATTAATGTAAACTAAAATTAGTTGATGGAAAAGCTTAATTGAACATTAAGTTTAGTAGTGATGAGATGCTATAAAAAGTGCATTCATATATTCAAAGAGCAGAACTTCACCGAAAAAAGATTCTGTCATAAAAGATTTACTAATTCACAATAAATATTTTACAAATCATAGTATATAAAAAAAGGTGCACTGGCTTCGTCCCTAATCTTCACGTTGTTGTTGTTGTTAAGTGCCATCAAGTAGGTTTTGATTCATAATGACCCTGTTGCACAAGGTTTCCGAGGAGCAGTTAGTGGGTTTGAACTGCCAACCTTGTGGTTTGAAGTCTGGTGTTAATCCCTCAGCACCACACCAGGAGTCTTATCTTTACATTGTTGTTGTTGTTAAGTGTCATCCAGTCGGTTCTGATAGCCACCCTATATAGGGTTTCCAAGGAGCAGTTGGTGAGCTTGAACAACCAACCTTGCAGTTCAAACTGACTTTACAGTCTGACTCATTAGCCCACAGCACCACACCAGGACTACTCCTCTTAAAAACTGTAAAAGTATCTAGAAGAGTGAAGTGGGGGAGGGGTTTGGTGATGGTCAAGAGGGACTCTCACAAACTATGTCTTCTGCAAAACTAGAAGAAACATAAATGTGACAAAGTTACATGAGACCTATAAATCTTCAGGAGAGCTTGCAAGGGTACGTTGTATCCGGGACAAACTGGGAGTTTTGACTGGTTAATTGAAGCCCTTATATAGTGCTGTAGGGCACACACTGGACTCAAATTTGGCAGTTCAAACTCACCAGCTGCTCCTTGTAATCCTGTACAGGGCTTCTATGCATTGGAACCAACTTGATAGCACTTAACAACAATAATAAATATGAAAAATGGTGAAAAGATTGAAATTGTCAAAGTCTTCATTTTGTTTGGATCCACTATTACCACTTTTGGAAGCAGCAGTCAAGAAATTAAACGATGAATTGAATTAGGCAAGTCTGTTGCATAAGATCTCTTTAAAGTGTTCAAGAGCAAAGTTGTCAGTTTGAGAATTAAGGAACATCTGACCCAATGGTATTTTAAATACAATGGTATTTTAAATTGCCTTGTATGCATATGAAAATTGGACAATAACTAAGGAAGACCTTAAAAGAACTGATGTGCTTGAGTTATGGTGTTGGAGAAGAATTAAAAGTCCCATGGACTGTCAGAAGAACAAGAGCACCACAAGAATGTTCCTGAGAAGCCAGGGTAACCAGACTTGGTTTCTCATACTTCAGACCTGGTTAAGTGGAGGGTCAGTGAAGGGGAGGAAGACCCCCAACCACCTGGTTTGGCTCAGTGGCAGCAGAAATAGACTCCAGCAAAACAATGATTGTGAGGATGGCGCAGGACTGGGCAGTGTTTCATTCTGTTGTGGGTCAGAACAGAAATGATGGCATCTAACAACAACAATAACAATTAGCAGCTCCTTGGAATCCCTATACAGGGTGATTATGGGTTGGAGCCGACTTGACAGCACTTATCAACAACAACAACTATGTCAAAGATTAGCAAATACACATTATCATCAAGAGAGAGTCATATCTTGAGTATCAACTTAAAAACTGAAATTTTTTTTTTATTTTCCAAAATATTTATTCAAATAGGGAATAAAGTTATTGATCGACTGATTAGAAAAGAGAAAATTAACTTGTGGATACAGGCAAATGTAGTCTCATAGGTACAGTAATATGCTTCAAAGGTCATGATTTCAAAACGAAAGAAGAATACATTTATAAATTATTTAAATCAAGAAGCTGGAAACTTTACAGAAAATCTAAAAGGGAATAAACACAAACTTTACAGAAAATCTGAAAGGGAATAAACAATATCAAAGTATTAAATTAGTATATTATTTTAATTAAGAGACATATAATAAATAAATGAAAATTTTGTGTATTGTGGATGGGAATGAGAAAGAAGAGTGGTGAGATATAACATTAACTCTCTGAAAAATGTCATAAAATAATGTTGGTCACAAAACAGGAAATAAAAATTAATCTTATGAAATTACTTTTAATAGACCTACAGATAGTGTGGCACTGTAGAATCAGCACTGGACTGCTACAAGGTTGGTGGTTCAAACCCACTAGCTGCTTCTGGGAAACCCTACGCAGAGTTGCAATGAGTCAGAACTGACTCAACGGCACTTAATAACAAAAGATGAGTCCTGGTGTGGTGCTGTAGGATAAGCACTGGGCTGATAACAACAAAGTTGGCAGTTCAAACCCACTAGCTGGTCTTGGAAACCCTATATAGGGTTGCTATGAGTCAGAACAAATTCGATGACACTTAACCACAACATTTGAATTTGAAAATATTATTGAAATAGTTTTCTGAAAACAAATATCAATATTGAACATAAAGTAAAAATTAAATTGCAAATAAATTAACCAAGAGAAAATGAAAATAAATTAT